GCGCGAGGGTTGGGACGGGAGGGGTCCGACCCTTTTCCAGGTTGGGCCCGCTTGTGAGGGCCGCAGGCGCAGTTGTGTGCGGGGTGCGTACAATGGCATCCAGGAAAGGGAGGGGAGAGCAGCAGTTTGTCCCGGTCAGCGAGGACAAACAGAGGCAGGCGGAGCTGAAGTTCTGTGGGTTCAAGTGGATCACGAAGGGGCAAACACTGCCAAATGCCAATGGGAATTTTCTCATGGAGTGCAAATTGTGCGGCCGGGGGCGTCAGGGCAGTCAGTCGAAGGCCGCACAACACTTCACAATAAAAAACAACTGTTCTAAAGTCACCGTGGAGGAGCTCGCGGAGATTTGGAACAAGACAAATTACTCGTTCGATCATAGCCACCATCGGAAGATCCTCGACTTCCTCAGGTCTCGTGGGTTTTGAGACAATAGGAATACTTCGGGGAGGGAGCAGGCGGGGGAGGAGTACGACGACCGCGAGGACGAGAGGAGGGCGGCCGAGGGGGAAGGTGGTGATAGTGACAGTGATTCACAAGACATGGAGATGCGGCGAGAGGCGGAGCGCGCCAGGGGTAAGTTGAGGGGGGACAAGGTCGTTGACGAGGACAGCACCCCGGACGAGCACGACGACGACGACCATGACGACGGCTATGAGGGCGCAAATATTGGGGCATCTCTTGATGGGGGTCTGATGGCCGCTGGGCGATGAGGCCAAGAGGGGGCTGCCAAGGCGATGAAGGAGGCTGCGCAATCGAAGAGGAGAAAGAGGAAGGCAACGACACCAGCTCCTCCTCTGCCGTAGAAGGGCAAAGTCCTTCGACAGACTTCCATGATGGAGGTCTTCGATCCGGCGTGGCAACGAGAGTTTTCGAACGAGTTCCTGCAGTGGTGGTACGTGAGCGGGATTCCATTCGAGGCGGCGAGGAGGCCGGAGTACCAGCGAGTGAGGAAGCGGTTGCTCGAGTGTCCATCGTATACACATCCTGCGTTGCCCACGCACCGTGTCATTTCCGGCGACGACATCCCAGAGCAGCAGCGAGTTGTGGCGAAGATGGTGGCGGCCGTCCGCAAGGACATTGTGGAGACGGGAGCGACTATCCCCACGGATGGTCGCAAGTCCATCACTAGCGACCAGATAGTCAACTTCCTTGCTGTTGGGCCCACGAGAGCCTACCTTTTCAGGACTGTGCAGCGTGACGGTGCTGTTCAGGAGACAGCCGAGGTCGTGGTCGAGCAATGGAAGGACGTGTTCGACAAGTTCGGTGTTGAAAACGTCAACGCCATTTGCACTGATTCCGCGTCCGCATATGTGGCTGCATCCAAACTCCTCGCGAAGGAGGAAGTCAAGTACAGTCGCATTACTTGGCTTCCGTGTGCGGTCCATGTCTGCAACTTGTTGTTGTCAGACATTGCGAAGGACGGCACCCCCGGGAAGCTTGGGAAGAGGGAGGACACCATCATCAGGGCTCGAGCAGTCGTGCGTTTCATCAGAGAGCACGGGGCAGCTCTCAGCCTTTACCGTCGGTTCTCTGCCGCCCACTCCTCTTCCGCCTCAGCAGTTGCGGCCACTTCCAGTGCTGCTCCACCATCGTCTCAACGGCGAGGTAGAGAGCTTGTGTACCCCGCACAGACGAGGTTTGCCACGCACTACTTGATGCTAGAGAGGTTGTTGGATCGTCGCCGAGCGTTGGAGGCGATGATGATGAGCGACGACTGGTTGCGGACTGCATGGAGGAGGTCGATTTACTTGCAGGCCAGTTGGGTGCGTCATCAGGTGCGGTACGCGCCATTCTGGGAGCACGTGGAGGACATCGTGGAGTTGATGACGCCTGTGATACAGTTGCTGCGCCGTTTGGACAGAGGGGGGCGCGTGATGACTCGCATGTGGTCGTGGGCGCTTGCCATGGTCAACAGAGTGGCGAGGGCAATGCTGAACAGGACGTCGAGGGAGGAGCTCCACATCGTTGTTCAGGCTTGTCAGGCGCGGGTCGATCATATGTTGGAGCCCGCACATTGCATGGCCCACCTCCTTAACCCTCGTCACATGAGCATTACTTATTTTGGAGCGGTGAGGCGCACCCAACACGACAAGACACTCGTGGATGAGTCGCTGCGATATCTTCGCTAACAAACTGGCGCAGATGAGGATTTGTATCAGACATTGCGCACGCAGTTCGCGGAGTTTCTTAGCCGGGAGGGCGAGTGGACGTACGGAGGGGTTGAGGGTGACAGGGATGTGGCCTCCTGCAAAGGGGAAAAAGAGATGTCGCAGGTGGGGCAGTGGTGGGTTCAGCACGGGGACGGGTCCCTCTCCTTCAGAGTTATGCCATTCGCTTGACACACATATGGACGTGTGCCTCTCCAGTGCAGAGGAACTGGGCCATCCATGAGCGTGTTCAGGTGAAGAAGCGTAACCAGCTTGGTTTTATCAAGCTGGCTCGTTTGGTGGAGATATCCACCAACTTGAGATTGAGTCGTTGTCAGGGGAGGGGTTCAGGGTACGTTCTGCCATGGGAGGATGTTGAGGAGGAGACAGAGGACAATATTCCTCCTCCTCGTGACGAGGGTGTTCGGCCAGCTGACCAAGTCACGGAGGCGCAGCGCGACCGGCAGGTGCAGCGCGGGTGGAAGGATCGCCTTTCGAAGGCTCCGCCCAGCGTCGAGACGTATTTCGGTCGTCGCGCCACGGTGCTCATGCTGACTGAGTCGGACGCCGTGTGCGATCCAGAGCCTGATCCTATGGCTCATGCCCCGATTGAGGCGGAGCCGTGGTCCGATCCGGACGACCTGGCAGTGGAGTCAGAGTCGGGAGATTCTGATGATTGGGGCGACGATGTTCCTCTCGACTAGATGTTGCGTGCTCGGACGCGTGCTTCCACTGCAGCCGCTGCGCAGCATCCCCCTCCCCCTCCACCTCCGGGATCGAGTGGTCGTGCTTCCACTGGAGCCGCTGCGCAGCATCCCCCTCCACCTACAGATCGACCAGGACATGGCGAGTGGGGGACTCAACAGACTGTTGAGGAGGGACGGGGCAACGACGACGATGATGACAGGGAGGGGTACGAGGGCAGCAGTGAGGACGAGGATGATCCCGCCTATTCCCCGCCACGCGGACGTGGTGACGACGACGACGACGAGGGCGGCGATGGCACACAGACTGCAGGTGGTTTGCAGAGGCCAGGTCGAAAGCGTGCCGACCGATGCAGTGGTGCATGCAGGGGAGGCAGTGGTGCAGGCAGGGGTGTGGTGGGCGCACGAGACACGGGGGCTGCAGGCCGTGGTGGCGGAGGATGGGCGATGCAAGAGTCTGCATCGTCCACTTTCACTGTGCACTGGGTCGATGAGGGTGCCATGACAGCAGAGGTTGGCGTCGGGTCGGGAGAGTTAGGTGCTGCGTCTGCAGAGGCCGTTGCAGAGGCCGCTCCCTCCAGCGTCGTTTGAGGAGGTCGCAGGCAGGTTTGCAGAGGTTGTTGACGAGGCTGCACAGGTTGGGAGCGCTTCTGCGCAATTGGGTGCCAGTTTTAGTGGTATGTTGGATGTTTCGTTAGGGTTTCCTCCGACACCGACAGGCGAGCGTGGCAGTGGTGATGCGGACGCTGCGGCTACGCCCGTCAGTCAGGTACTCCGGGATAAACCTTCATGCAGCATGGGTGACATCAGTAGCAGCATGTTGCAGGAGGCAGCAGCGGGGACACAGGGTTCGTCGGGGCAGGAGGAGTGTGCACCAGGGGATGGTGGGGATTGTCGATCTGAGCACGAGCGAGCGCCTAAGTCGGAGCAGGACAGGATCGACCGTGAGGAAGAGGAAGATGGCGCAGGACTTGGTAGCCATTGCCATATGACACAGAGCATTGCGTCGAGAGCACGGGCACAACGGTTGCTCGAGACGGGCGGTGGTGAGGGTCATCGTGCGACGGACGATGCAGTGCTTGAGTGTGGCAGTGCGGGCGGTGAGGAGGCAGGCGATAAACCCGCGTCGCCGGTTCAGGGTGTTTGTATATTGCCTATCGGTGGAGCCATGACGGCGGGGGAGTTGGAGCGGCAGGCACGGGAGGACCCATTGCGGGCATATCGACGCGGACGGATGGATGAGACGTCGAGGAGGTTCATGGCAGATGCCCCAGCCTACGTGCCGTGCAGCCCATCCCTGCCATCGTCCACCACTGGTGCCACCACCTCCGTACATGTTGAGGGTGCCACCACCGGCGGGTCCACCGCACCGGGACCTGCAGAGTCTCCTTCTCCCAAATCGTGGAAGAAGAAGATGAGAGCAGGCAAGAGTCTTAGTACTGTGAGGAGGGTGACGCATGCGATGCGGGAGAGTAAGCCCGGGTTGGTTGGTTTACATCCGCGGACTCGGGAGGCATTGGCCCGGGACGTTGTCGCGGACACAGCAGGTTGGCGGGAGAGGGCCTCCACCCGGGCGATGGAGCAGCCCATGACTGCACCTGTTGAAGCGGCGATGCCACGTGCCGAGGGGTGCATAGCAGGTAGGGGGGAGGAGGCGGAGCACAGTGCCCCCCCCGGGAGGAGCATGGCCGGACGTATATTGGGGGAGGATGTGAGGACTGTGCCTGCACAACGACCATCAGATACAACATGCATTTTGGAGTCTGGTACCGATGATTTGGAGATTCCTTGTGGCCAGCGGACGAGGGTTTCCGTGTACGATCTTCTTCGAGCACAGCACAGGGTTGAGGCGGCGCCACAGGGGGAGGTTCATGCTCTGGGTACTGCGCACAGGCCTGTAGGAGGCACAGGTGGCGGTGACGATGTCACAGGTGTGGGGACACATAGGAGGAGGAAGGACATTGTGGACGGCGACGATGCTTAGTCCCACCATTAGTCCTCTTTCGTCCTGTATTTCTCAGTAGTGTATACTACATTTAGTGCATTTGATGACATGTTGTATTTATAGGTGCAATGTATATTATATGTAGTGTTTCATCGTGACCGCATTTGTATTTGTACAGATGGTTAGACTAATGCACAGTTTTCCATACACAGGTGCAGTAGGTGCAGATTGTTCTTTCTTTTTCGTTTTATTTTTCCATCGTTGTTTCAGAGGATTGCACTCTTTGTTCAGACATGGGCGCAACATCTGCAGCGCTTGCATTGTGTTTGTTTTCCTTCTACTTTGCTATCGATGTTTTAGACGATTGCACACTGTATTTGCACAATATTTGAGTGAGTTCAATCTTCATGCTTCTTTTATTGTTGTGTATCTATGGTGCAACTGTTTCGCGTTGTTGTTATGTTGCCATGTAATGTTGTACTTTCTAAATTTCTGCATCGATTATCACTCGCAGATGATCTTCAATGACGCAATGCTTTTGAAAATTGTTTGTAATTGTTGTTGTTTGAAGTCACGAACTTGCTTGACGCGTATGCTTGTTTCGTCCCGATGTTCGTTCGCCTGTGATGCATTTGTCAACATCCCCCACCCAACCCTCCCAAGGGGAAACCAAAGGACGACCTTGGCAAAGACTTCCCGAAGGACCCC